CTAATATATTATCGTAGAAAGTTTTCTGACTAATACATTATTGTAGAAAGTTTTCTGACTAATACATTATTGTAGAAAGTTTTCTGACTAATATATTATTGTAGAAAGTTTTCTGATGGTTGTTACTCAGCTTGCATTCAAATTTTTGAAACTTACACCAACATTTTCATTGGCTAACAGAATTAAGGAAAATTCCAAAAGAGAATATATGAAATTTGGTTGGAAACATGAACAAATTTTAGTTACAATGATTGTTCTTCAATTTTTAATAATAATAAAGGGGATAAAAAAAAATGCTGTTGGAAAAAAAAATCAGTTCCTTACTTTTAATTTTCGGAAAAAATTAAACTAAATCTAGGATATATAGTCTCATATCAGACCCAATGAAAAAGTAGATTAAGCAATAAAAGAATAATTATACATTTTCTAATGCCCTTAAGGTACTAATAAAACAATTTTTTTGTGTGTTAAGTGATACACCGTGACGAGGAATAGTCCGAGGAGAAAAAAATATTTATAACACGTGTATTATATATGACATCACTGGTAAAACCAAATGTGAAGTATTATATTCAGTTTTGGGTTCCTTACTTTAAGAAGGACATTTAACCCTTTACTATGCATGACAAAGTTTTAGTGTCTTACATTCAAAATTTTATTAAACTATTTTTTGTTTATGTTATATCAATTAATATGGCATTAACACTTAGCTAATAATCCATATTTTAATAGTATACAAGTTTTAAGTTCTCAATTCTATAAGAAAATATTTAAAAAAATACTGAACTTTCCCTAGTATTACACAGTAACATTTTCTCAAGGCATCTTCTCTATCTTATTCACTACCCCTTCAAAATGTATGATATTAAATGTAAATTGCTCCCTATAATGTCGTCATTGCTCAGACATATCATAATTTTTATAGCCTTCAATTTGGTTACAAAGCTATAAATAGAAAATCAAATCCCTTCTCCCACTCCTACCTGTCACATCTTCTCTTTCAGGCTTTGTTAATAATTATTTTTTACGTTTAATTATACATTACCTATAACCATAACCAATAGAATGTCAAGGTTTTCACGTATCAAATTACACATTGTATAATGTGTTCTGAACAGATAAGCGACAATTTCACTCAGAATACAAGCTTCATTTCATGGAAGAGTTAACGACTAGCTTGGATGAATTTGTAACAACTCTTGTCGCATAGTAAGAAAGCCAGAAAAATGTTGAGAGTTAGGGGAAAGTGTGTTTTTGCATGTTATTAGTCAATGTTCTTTACTGCATTATTTAATTAAATAAAAATTATTTAATGCACTAGTACCATTAGTATAAAATATGTAGGCACAAATATAATCAACAACTGACAGCAAGAAAAAAAGAAGATTGGGTAAGTAATTTATTTCTTGTTTTTCATGTTTATTCTATATTTATTATTATAAAAGTAACTAAAATGTAAAAATAGGGATCTTTTTAGATTAGTTAAGATTAGATCAGGAAAATAAATAATACAATAAAAATGTTTCATGAGTCACTCACGCGAGCAGCACGTAGGTAATGTCATTCAATAGCATAAGGTGAGCTGCATATACCCCGAGTCGTTTACAACTTACTATGGCACAGATAGTAGTTAGACATGGTTCAAAGGGCAATAAAATTTAATTATAAATAGATGTATACTGTTATGAGTTTAAAGCTACTTAAGATAAACTAATGTAGTTTCATGTTACAATTTGAAGTCATTCTAGTAAGAAAAAGAAGAGTAATTTAGTTTGTTTTTTTGTGGTTAAGAGGTCAGTCGAATTGTCCAATCCCGTCTTTGAGTTAGGGTAGAAAAAATAACAGATGAAATATAAAGTTTTACTGGAAAAATAATGTATTTTGGAGGCCTTAGCGATTATACAAAGGAAATTAGAGATGAGTAAAAGTATTTTTAATCTTAACATGAAAATTACTTTGCACACGGACTATTCAAAACAAATCTTAATTTTAGTTTATTAAAAATACTTCACTAAAAAATATGATTTTCTGTATCTGAAAGACAATGTTAACTGAAAGACTGCCAAAATTTGTGATGATATACAAACTATATTGAAAGTATTAAATCTATAAAGACTTTAAATGAGCACAAAGAGGTCACGTAGTCGGTCACATTGACCGAGCCCATGTTGAGAGAGTTAATTGGAAAGTGTTCAAAGGAGGACAACTAAGAAGATACCTAAGATGGAAAGGTCTATAAAGAAGGACACATTAAGATCTATGAGACTGATTTCTTTGAAAAAAGAAGAGTTAAATAGGGTCTGATTGAAGTGTAAGATTATTAACAGAATTGATAAAGTCGATACAGTCTTTTTTTGTACTTCATTGCAAGAACTGTAAGACTTGGGAATAGAAATATGAATTTTGACAGGGTAGGTGTCATCTTCAGATAAAACAGTTTCATTTTTCAAACAGGGTGGTTGGCCTTCAAAAGTGGTAGATGCAGTAAATTTAAGGGGTCACTGGTGAAAGGCCATGTCATCTTGTTTATTAACTCGCATTCAAAATTTTATTGAACTACTATTTCAGAAATTTGTCAATAAATTAGGTATACTGTAGATTATAATTCAAATTTTAGTACTAAATATTACTCAATTTCTTACTTTAAAAGCAAATATTAAAAAAAAACAGGTAACGTCAATTTGTTTTGTGTCACATGGTATGTTGAATGCAGCACTGGTTCAAATTAGATGTTTGTGAAGTCAAAATACTAAGTCTATAGTTTCATACAAATTAGAAACTCAAATTACCGATATTGTCCAGCTAGAATATAAAATAAGAGGCTATTATCTATTCAATTTGCTAAGATATTGCTCATGTAATAAATCAAACACAGTGGCACCCTGCCCACATATTCCATTTTTGGAAATGCTCCCTTATATACACATACTTCTATATACGACATGAATAACCAATCGAAAGCTCAGAATTTCCCCCTAGTAGCTTTCTCAGCCATTTCAACAGACTTGGCATCATTTTTATTTTGAACCAATATTTCAACGAGGTATGGTGTGTCTTTAGTCTGCTTTAAATTTCATATTTTTTTAGGCTAAAATACATCTTAGTTACTTAACTTGATAAATTATAGTTGAATTCTATGGTATTAATGTAGTAATTTATGATTTTTTAGTTATTCAAATGTATATATAAACCTAAAAAAAATATTTTGTTTCATATCCCCCATGTGATTCTTTACAGGCTTAGCAACCTATGTAAATCAGCAACCAAGTACAAAGGTCATAACTAGAAGAGAATTGTTTGCTTTAATTCTTTAGTTACTGTTCTATGTTTTAAAAAAATAAGTTTCAGTACTTATTTCAAAATAAAATCTATATACATATATAATGTATCATAATTGAATTGTGAACTGTACGAAATACTAGTCCACTAAAACAAAGTCAAGACAAGTTACTTTGTACAGACCAAAGGTCAGTTTCATATTATTTGATATGGTAACATGAGTGCACGTGAGCCACATCATTGTAACTTCTGCATTGTTAGCCAGGTACGGCTGAAAGGTCAATATAATAAAAATAATAAATATATATAAATGTATAATGTTATGAGATTTAAGCTATTAAGTCTAAACACTTATGTTTTTGTGTTATAATCTATGTTCATTCTGGAATGAAAGAGGAATAATTTATACTTATTTCCTAATTTTTTTTATGTTTGTTTGCGAAATCAGTCAAATCCACTAAACCCGTACAGAGATTATTTACTGAAAATAACAGATAAAATATAAAGTTTTTCTTAAGAAATG